TGTTTGCTGTGTTTCCTATTATATGGGTCACACTGATGCATATTCAGCAGGCAGAAGTAGAACTGAGTATGAGCAGATACAGATAGACTTTATTTCCTGATTCACTTGAAAGTTAGTTGTAGATACAAGACCACACAAGCGGGCCATGGTGGTGCGTGTCTGTAATCCCAGCAATTAGGAGGCTGAGGCAGAAAGATCACTGTGAATTTGAGGCCAGCCTGAGCTACAAAGTGAGTTCAAGGCCAGCCTGAAATGCATAGTGAGACCCTGCCTCAAAAAGACCAAAAGCAAATAAATAAGCCAAGAAAAAACAATTTATAAGACCACACTCCTAAATGTTTGAGACAAAATCTACAGTATCACTGACCCTTCGGGTGACTCACACTGATGCATCAGTTACCTGCCCTTACCACAGCTGCTGTGGTTGGTTGGTTGTTTCTTTTCTTTTCTTTTTTTTTTAAATTATTTATTTATTTTTATTTATTACATTTATTTATTGTGTGTGTGTGTGGCCAGCTCAGCCCACCAGGGGGCGGGGCTGGCTGGCATGTGGTGCTGGGGGATCGAACCGCGGTCCCTGTGCTTTGCCAAGCTTGTTTCAAGTAGGTGCTTTAGACCACTGAGCCATCTCTCCAGCCCCAAGTTGTTTCTTTTCTAATGCCCCTCCCAGTGGGCGCGAGGCACTGTGCCGTATTGGAACCTGAAAACAAGCAGAGACCCTGCTTTCCAGAAGTTCGCAGGCTTTGGGAAGATGGACATTGGAGCCATCGTAATGAGTTGGAATACGGGCTCCAGATACATTACAAGCCTAAGTGAGCAGCGGTGACTTCCCAGAGTGGGGTCCTGAGCCTGTGCCCATGCCCGGGATTCACCCTCCTGCTCCTGGTGGTCGTTTTGCTCAGACCAGGTGATCTGTATCCATTTACAGGCGAAGGACACAACAGACAGGATGCCATTCCTTCTCTCGGCAGAGAGGAGGAAGGAGAGGTGGACTTTGAGAGCCAGGCTGAGGAGTGGTACTCCTGTCTTCTAGGTCAGCTGAATTGAAAAGACCTGAGATTGGCTTTGAGTGTGAAGGATCCTCACTAACCGTGGCTACTCGAGATGGGGTTTCTTTTTTATGTGACCTCAGGACACAGCTGGCCAAGGGTTAGAGTACGGACTCAGATCCTAAAAATCCCCTGTGTGCTTCTCCCTCCCCAACCCCATTCTGTTGTCCCCCCTTATTTTCCCTGGGACCCTAGTTCATGGTGGCTTGTGGCTCTGTCATTCCCTCCATATGTTAGCACCTCCACATTCCGGGCAGGAGGGCAGAGAAAGGGACAGCGTGCTCCTCCTCCGCTTTTGTGTGTGTTCTAGAAAGTACACACCTCATTTCTGTCCACACTCCCCTGGCTGGAGTTTATTCACAGAACCATACCTGCACGCAGGAAGGTACTGAGAAATGTAGGCTTCGTTTGGGTGGCTGTGTACCAGGCTAACACTAGTGAGTTCTGTTCCGTGTAAGAAGGAAAGAGCTATTGAAAGGCAGCCTACAGCCCTGATAGCCCAGCAGTTCTGTTTAAAAAACAACTAAAAGAGCCTTCTATAAAATTAGTGCCTTAAGATGCACCATGAAAATTGTGTACTAACCCACTCATCTAGGTTCGCAGTGCAGTGCTGTATTGGCGGCTCTGAGGAGTCCTAGAGGAGCAGCACACATCCCTCAGTTTAACCACTAAGACAACTCAGCGAAAACTCCCTTTTCACAACAGTGTATTTATTTTGCTGCTTCTGCAGATTCCCTGTGACACTAGCTTTAGAATCACTGATGATTTCCTTTTTGAAGCCGTTCTGAACCCAGCAGAAATGTGCCTGCTGTGAGAGTTTCGGGTTCAGGCAGAGAAATGGAAGGAGCAGGGGATGTGGCCGTCACAGGGACTTGACCACGTGTAGCTGTGGGAGCTGGTTAGACAGGGTAAGGGCTCAGTGATCTTTGGATCTGGTGATGGGGCTCGCTGTCGGCCTGGCAGGGGGGTATAAGGAAGCGTTGAGAAGAAGCCGGAAGGGAACTCATGAGGTGGGCGGGAACCCTGGATCTGTCTGTCGTTTCTGGTTTTTGTGACATCGGTGTCCCAATAGGAGAAGCTGGTGTCCTCCATTATGGAATTGAACATACCTAGCTCAGCAGTCAGAGAAGATGAAGAAGAGCCCAGAGGCAGGCAGCTCCAGGCTCCAGCAGGCTGGGCTGCTGCTCTCCGCCTCAGTGGCTGTTCGCCTTGCTGCCCCTTGCTCCCCTCCCCCTGCCTGCTGCCACCATCCTCACCCCCGCGCTGCCTTCATCCTCCACACCCTTGCCCCACGCCGCCCCTCGCCCTCTGCCAACCTTCATCCCCTGCTGCCCTTTGCCCCCTCTTGACCCCCTTGCCCACCCTAGCCCCCTCTTGCCCACCCTTGCCCCCCTTCCCCCCTCGCTCTCTCTTGCCCCCCTTCACTCTGTCTTGCCCCCCTTCACTCCTGCTGCCCCTTGCCCCCTCGCTGCCCCTTGGCCCCTGCTGTCCCTCACCTCTTCGAGCTTATGGATGAGCAGGAATTTAGGTGGGTGCTCCGTGTTCCCGCACACCTTCCAGACACTAGTGCAAACTGGCTGCTGCTTCGTTTCCACCTTGTGTAGCTCAGCTGGAAAGGAATCCCGAGCGTGCGGTTCAGTCCAGCTAGGCCTGCGCATTGTAGAGCCACCGCGCATATATCTACCACGAGGTGACCCCTATAGAACCGTTTATAGTGAGCCTAGCTGCCGCAGCTGTAGACAGCTGTCGACATAAAGTAGATAGATAAATTGCTATGTGCAGATGATAGAGGTAATTGATGGACAAGCTGATACTACATCCATTAACATGGATGAGTCTTACGAAAACATTGAGCAAAAGAACACCAAAATCTATGATTGCATGTATAGGTATTTGAAAATGGGCACAGCTGATTCTTGTGTGTGGGGTGTGAATTCGGGGTCCTGGTTCTTCTCAGAGAGGGTAAAGGCCGGTCATGTTCTGTGTTCTGACCTAGGGGCCAGGTGCGCAGCGTGTTCACTTGGGAAAATGCAGTGAGTTGTGCAGTTGCAGTTTGTCTCCCTGCTGGTAATGGTGCAGCAGAAAGTTTAAATAAAGTTTTCACAGCTGTTGAGCTGTTGTGGGAGGCTAGGGTGGGGAAAGAAGCTCAGCTTTGCCAGGCGACCCCTGTAAGCAACGGGCTGAGTAAACATCCATGGAGAAGCCGGAAGTGCAAAGCCTCTGGAGGCCGCGTCCCTGGCTGGCCTGCCTCTGTCCTCGCCATGGGCTGCCAGTGTGATGTAGGGGACCACCCAGGGGCGCCCATCTCTGGCACAGAGACCCGCCAGTGTGGCAGGGCAGGGGACACTACATTGTTCTAGACCTGGAGGGGCCACCAGGACCTGTAGAATGACTCTAGCTGTCCTGGGACATTCTCAGGGAAAGCCGCCTCTGGAGGGTGGTAATAATGGTGGTGGATGTTAAGAAATGGGGGAACCGGGGAACCGGATGCTGCAAAAGCTCACCCTTGATTTTCAAACTCGCCTCTCTTTCTGAGCACTTTTTCTTTAACTCTGAGAAAGACAAGGTGGTTGTAGCTTTTCTGTTTTATGAAAATGTAATTTCCCTCTTTCAATTTTTTTGTTTGAATGAATGAATAAGTTGGTTGGAATCATGATTCTTCCATTGAAAAGAAACTGGTTGAAAGCGCCTTGGACTGTCTGGTGGAGAGTGGCCAATCCTCTATGGTGTCAGTGTAGTGTCTTCTCTGGTGCCCTGAACAGTCACCTGAAAGCACCATTAGCTAGGATCATACACATATTTTTAGTGCCTGGACAGTTAGGATTCGGAACATTAATAAGTTTGCCCAAAAATGAAACATTTCAAGCAGTTCAGTGTTCAGTTTCGAAGTTTTTGCATTGGCATGAAGAAAATAAAAACTGCTCCACAGAGTTCTCCACCACCTCTAGGCTATGTTTCTACTCATGCTGTCTTCAGAGTCGCTCAGTCTGGAGGATGCTTGTTGCTGCACCCTAAAATTCCACCTTACCTTGGACCCTAAAATTCCACTTTACCTTGGATCCAGGAAACACTTAGTTGCCGCTCTCTTTTGTAGCTTGTTCATCCCTAAACTGTAATTTCTTTCTTTGTTTTTTCTTTTTGAGACATGGTCTCTCTCTGCAGTTCAGGCTGGCCTTGAGCTCACTTAGTGACTCAGGCTGGTCTGGAACTCGCAACAATCTGAGTGCTGGAATCACAGGCGTGTGCCACCACATCCGACTCTGTAATTTGTTTGTGATCAGGGTCTTTTACCTTGTATCTCTAACATCTGGCTCCGTAAGATCTCTGTGATCAGGGACTGAGTCCCCAAGTTGTGGAAGCAAAGATCATCCACCCTTGAAGGATGCCTGTGTGTGGGGAGAAAGGGAGGGAAGCTACACCGCACAGATTAGAGAAGGAGGAAGAGGCCTAGTAGTACCCCACCCTGGAGATCTAGGAAGAGGAGATGCACTCGAGGAATCAGCGCACGGCATGTCAGGGCAGATGACACTGAGAAGTGTTTTCAGAAGTTTTGGGTTTTGTCCGAGTTTATTTGTGGCTGCAGAAAGGTGAGATGGAAACTAGATCTCAAGTACCTAAGGGGAGAGTGTGTGAGAAATGAGGAAAATACTTAAAGTGAAGCCATGCGAGGAAGATTTGGAAGTGGCTGGGCAGAATGGCAGAACCAAATCAGCTGAGTGGAGGAGGAGGGTGTGTGTGTGTGTTTGTGTGTGCGCGCATGCGCCTGCGCACCAGTCACAGGCAGCATCCCTTCCCTCCGGCTCCTGTTGTCTGGAGTGACTCACTGGGTGTTGGAGAAGAGTCTGTGAATATCTTTCTCCCTAGTCCAGTGCAAGGCTGAGTCAGGAATATGTTTTTGTGAAGCATTTTTTTTTTTTTTTTAAAAAAACCTGTATTCCCCTTTTCCCACAGGAAACATGGTAGAATGGTGTTTACCTCAGGATATTGACCTGGAAGGCGTCGAGTTCAAGTCTATGGCCAGTGGGTCCCATAAAATCCAGTCTGATTTCATGTAAGTCCTCCTGAACCCAAGCCTTCCTGTGCCATTCCCTTCACTCGCACTCCCTGGGCCTTTCCCAACGTGTAGAAGCTCTTATCAGAGGGTTCTTTAGGGAAAGCCTTTGCAGGTACTCTGACAGCATAGGGTACTTCGTGTTTGTATCAGGTTTGTGCCAGTGGTGTCTCTCTGGCTTTTGTCAAGTTCTCAGTGACTTTCATGATGCAGAAAAGCTGAGAACTCTTGCTAAGAAATTATATGGACTTCACCCAGTGGTCCCCACTGGTGTGGTCCCTGCATCAGTTCACCAGAAATTATGTGGACTTCAAGTTTGGTTTTAATGAACAAGTGGAGTCGTAGCTCATTATGGGTTAGGACATCTGTGTGCTAAAACATGAAGGTCTTGCTTTTTTTCCCCATGTGGTACTGGGGATTGATCCTAGGGCCTTTACACTGAGTTGTATCCCCAGTCTCAGACCCCTCCCCCACTTTAAAATTTTTAAGTCAAGGTCTCACTCAGTCAGTCAGTTACCCAAGCTGGTCATTCTCTTGGTCCTCCTGCCTCAGCTTCCTTGAGTGTTGGGGATATGGGTTGCACCACTGTCAAGTTTCAATTTTAAGGCCCATTTGGGGCCCACTATAACTAGTGCCTTGTGAGTGTTGTGAGGAGGAGTATGTGGAGAAAGCCTTCTGCATAATTTAGCAGCTTTAGCTTCCTCATTGGGAAAACCGTGACGGATAGAAGTCGGAAGGAGGAGAAGGGAACAAAATGACAGCCGAGTAGGAAATGTCAGAGGCTCAGGAAGTACGAGAAGAATCATTGAGGTGTATGCCAAGAAAACACTCTGCTCGAGCTCACGGGGCCTGAAGAAGAGTCTTGGTTCTGGCTCTGACTATCCATGTTATAAGCTGTGGTGGAGGAAGCAGGAGGGCTCTGTCCGTCCGTGGTTGGGGGCAGCTGGTTGCCAGGTTGCTAGACCCCGAGTCCTGACTCCACAGGGTGACCCACACCCTCAGCTGGTGAGTGCTGCCCTCCCGAGCCTCGCCTGTCTCCCCTGCGAGGTTCAGCAGTTTAAGGCTGAGCTTTGTTACTCTGAGCTCTGCAGACAGTTCATTTGTGTTTTGTTTTGTTTTCTTTGAAAGATTGCATGAGAGAAAACACCTTTCTTTGAGAGAAAACACGTTTGTTTTTCTTCCTCATTTCAAGCCAAGTACCTGTTTGGTGTTTTGCAGCTATTTTCGCAAGGGGCCCTTCTTCGGCCTGGCCTGCTTTGCCAACATGCCTGTGGAGAGCGAGCTGGAGCGCGGTGCCAGGATGAAGTCCGTGGGCATCCTGTCTCCTTCCTATACCCTGCTCTACCGGTACATGCACTTCCTGGAGAACCAGGTTAGGTACGTGGCTTCCACGCTCATGCGTGTGGGCAGCAGTAGGACTGGCCAGCTGGGGCACGTGTGTCCGTGTGTCTCATCTGTCCGCCCATCCACCTGTCTGTCCATCTATCTGTCCATCCGTCTATCTGTCTGTCTGTCCATGTGTCAGTGTGTCCATGTCCCTGAGAGAGAAGCCAGGGGGCTAGACCCACACGATGGGTTGGGCCTCAGTTAGTGTCCCTCATTTCAGCCAACAGGCTGCTAAGATTTCTTCATCCTGCAATGAAAGCTGGGGCAGATTTGTGTTTTCAGTTTATATGAATATTGTCACTGCATTCGTTTAATGAATTTGCTTCCATGTGTGTCTTTTTTTTTTTTTTTGGTGGAACCGGGGATCGAACTCAGGCCCTTGTACTTGTGAGGGAAGCACTTCTTCCACTGAGCCATCTCCCAGCCCCCTCCATGCGCGTCTTGATTTACTTTCAGCCTCAGTGACTGCCTCCTCATCCCAAGTGGGCGTGCACAGTAAGCTTCAGTGCCTGATGGCTCAGTATTTGGGGTAATAGGACGAGCACCTGCAACAGAAGCAGCAATGCTGAAGTTATTAGTTTTCTTTTTTTTTTTTTTTTTTTTTTTCTAAATTATGCAAGTAACCTACTTACACTTCAGCTTGTGAGGGAGTAAATCCATCTTTAATTCTGGAATTACTGTTAAAACTTCAGTACATTTATCTCTTTTCTAAGACTTACATTCATGTACTTGGAAACATGTTTCATAGCCAGGTATGGTGGTATGTGAGCCTAGGAACTTTTGTTTTTGTTTTTTGTCTTTTTTGAGACAAGGTTTCGCTGTGCAGCTCAGGCTGGCCTTGAACTCACTGTGTAGCCCAGACTGGACTTGAACTCACAGAGATACTCCTGCCTCAGCCTCTCAGGCGCTGGGATTATAGGTGTTTGCTACCATGCTCAGCTGGAGCCCTGGAGTTTGAAGCCTCCTAGACAAAAGAGTGAGAGTCTATTTCAAATAAACACACACACACACACACACACACACACACACACACTTATCCAGCAACAGGGATACACAATTTCATAGCCCATACTGTTGAAATTTACCATTATTTTAAAGCTTTTATAAAATATATTCTGTCTGGATTATCACCTTTGAAAGAAAATTGTAGAAAACAACATTTTTAAAATTTACTCAAGTACAAAAGAATAAAATCTTTCCAAAGATTTATACTTAGACCCCCATTACCAATATCAGTATATTCTTTTTTTTTTTGGCAGAACCGGGGGTTGAACTGAGGCCCTTGCGCTTGCCAGGCAAGCGCTTATTCTACTGAGCCATCTCCCCGGCCCTCAGTTTATTCTAGAATGAACTCACTTTACATAAATAGGACTAATAATTTATGAAAATTTCCTTCTTCAAATAGGCAATACTAATGAAATATACTTAATGTAGCTGTGCCTGGAAAGATAAGAAACGTGAGCTGCCCTGAGTCGACATGGTTATGCCCTATGACTGAGCATTTAGCATATTTCTTTGTCTTTTCTTATCCAGCAACAGGGATTGAACCAGGAACCTTCACGTTGAGCTAAATCCTCAGCATATTTATTTATTTATTTTTGAGACAAGATCTCACCGAGTTAATTGCCTGTGCTAGTCTCAGACATGAGATGCTCCTGCCTCAGTCTGGCTCAGAGTGCTGAGATTATGGGCGTGGAGCACCAAGCTCAACACTTCAGCAAGTTTCTGTGATTATTATTATTTTTGTTGTTGTTAAGGATGTTTTTCTACATTTGGGAGGTATGCTAACCACCTTTATGTAATATCTGTTTTAGTACTTGAACTGTTTCTTCAGTCGGTGTTTCAGAGGTAATATATAGATTTTTTTTCTTTTTTTTTGAGACAGGGTCTCACCAGATTGTGCAGGCTGACCTTGAACTCACTTATGTAGCCCAGGCTGGTCTTGAACTCACCGCAGCCTTGTTGCCTCAGCCTCCCCATTGCTGAGATTACAGGTGTATGCCACTATTCCTGGCATAGAATTTTTAAAAGAAGTATTTTTATTAAAATCCTCACGCTTTACAAAAGCTTCTTAAGCAAATTTTAATTGTCCAAATAATCCATTCTCGTGGTTCAAAAGCCACAACTATATGGAGGTGTTATATTAAAGTTCTAACTAAACAGCAGTAAAGGAGGCCAAACGATAAACAGCTCAATTAAGAGAGAGGGATTTTTGTCATATAGTAGTCCACAGGGTTAGGCAGTGGTCACGATGGGTAGCCTGCTCTAGTGGTTAGGGACCTGCATCCCTTCTGTTGCCTCTTACCCTGGGAGTGGCTTTGTATCCTCAGTTCTTGTTGTCCAAGTGCTCAGCACGGCTACATCTGCATTGCAGCCCACAGGAAAGGGGGCACAACAGAAACTCTGCTCCTCCTCACTTGTCATCTCCTAATGTCAAATCCTCAAATGCAAAGACACACCTACCAGCAAAGTTGACTAGAAAGTGTCTTTCTGTGGGTGACTCTAAGAGCACAGAACATTCTAGGGTTTGGCTTATAAGCAGGAAGAAGAAAAATGGATTTTTTAGGAAAAAAATATCACCTCCGCTTGTGGCAGAGGCCACCCAGGCACGGGGGAGACATCGGGGCTTCATGGGCTGCTGCTTCTAGCCCAGCATTCCCTGCGCTTGCAGCAGCCCTTTGCATTAGACCAGGGCATGGCTCTTTTTACTCCGAAGATTCATAAAACAAAAGACAAGTGTCCCACTTTCTACCTCCCAAATGCCACACAGAAAGTAGAATAGGGACCACAGTACAAGCTGCTGTCACAGAAAGCAGAGATGGACAGAGAGAAGTAGTCATTAGTCACCTGCCATCATGACATTCTAGTGAGTGCAGATTGTAAAGACTCCTTGCCCAGCCCGAGCGCTTCACTCCTGGATAAACCTTGGCTGGTGCTACTGCGTGGAACCCTGGTCTGTGTCCTTCTGTGGCGCCTGGATTTGCTCTTTAGGAGACCTACATCTGCAGAGGCCCAGGGAACTGGCCCTTCTTGAGGCTGCACAGCATCAGAATACACTTCCTGCTGGGGCACGTGGTGGGCCTGGCAGTTTCTTCAGGACTTGGAAGGCCATAGGAATCATGGGCCAGGCGTAGGACAATGTATGTCCGTCAAAAACTCAGCTGGCTTCTCATTGTTCACTTCAGTCATTTCCAGGTATCAGCCTCCAAAGATCACTTTCAGGTCGTGGTCTTTAAGTTAGTGGGCTCTGTGGAATTTTCAGTGTCCTGAATATGTCTTTGAGTCTGTTTTGTGGATTCTGTTTCTTTCCTAGTTGGGCATTCATAGTTCCCATCATTTTCCTAAGCGCTTCTGTTCTTCTAAAATCTGTGTCTAAAGTCACTGAGTATGCCTTTCACGATGCTCACCATCTCTGTAGTTTTGAGAAATTATTTATTTCTGATTTAATGTTTTGCCAGAGCCTTGTTTATTTGTTTGGTTGTTACTGCTTCAGAGAGTCCAGGTGGGTGGCTTGCGGATTGTTCCACCTCATGACACCCCTGGGTTTGCCTTTGGTGAGCTGGATGTCTGGGATTGCGTCTTAAGTATCTTCTCAGTTTGTGTGTATGTATATTTTATTTATATTAATTTAGGGCTGGGGAGATGGCTCAGTGGAATAAGTACTTGTCTGGCAAGTGCAAGGTCCTGAATTCAAACTCTGGTACCACCAAACAAACAAAGAAGGCTGCTAAAATTTCAAATGATACATTTATTTTAAGTTTAATGCCTGGTGGCTGCTTACAAATTGCCTGTGGTGAGTAGCTTTATTTTACTCATTTATTTTTATTTTATATATTTGGTATGAAGTCTCACTATGTAGCTCAGGCTCATAGTGATCCTCTTGTTTCAGCCTCCCCGGTGCTGGGATCACAGGTGTGTGCCAGCATGCCTGGTCTCAGTGGCCGGCTCAGCGTGCCCAGGGCTGGACTGGCACAGCATGCAGTCCTGGGGATTGAACCTGAGTCCTTGTGCTTGCCTAAGCAGGTGCTTAGTCCGCTGAGCTATCTCCGTGGCCTGTGAATAGCTTTATTATCAGTATTGAGAACCTGTTGGGAAATGACTACTCTCAGATGTCTTCCAGGTATAGCTGGCTTTTGGGTTGAGAGTCTGTCACAAGGTCCTACCTTTTCAATTTATTAGGGATGAGAAGTTACTGTCAGTGAAGTCCATGGCTCTGCTCCACTGCTGTGCTTGTCCATAGAGGCTTTGGGGTCACCAGCAATCCCCAGGTTTAAGCTGCCCTCCCATGCAGTATGTCTGGATTTAGGGAGAAAGCTCCACCTGCCTTCATGGAAGTTTTCCTCTTTGCTGTTCCAGTGGGCTTCAGATCCTTCCTGGGTCCTGGGGACCTGCTTCCCTCCTCCTCCTCTTCCTTCCTTTGCTATATTCCAGTGTCTGGACACCAAGTCTCAGAGAAGCTCTTTCTCGGCTGCTCACCATTCCTCCATCGTCCAGTCAGTGGGCTCCAAACTGTGTTGCTCTCTGCCTGGCCTCTCCCGGTTTCCCTCCTGTTGGCAACGACAGGAAGATGCTTTCAGTTCGATCTTTACAGATGGCCTCACTGCCTTGGCTCTCCAAGAATACTTACCTAGAAACTCCGCAATGCACTGAGAGACACTTGTACCTCCTGTTTTAGGGGGACAGAGGTATTGGCTTTTCCATCCCACAACCCCAAATTATTGGAATCCCAGTTGACTTATGGTAAAATTTAGGGTTTTTTTCCTTCTGTATTTTAGGGAAGGGTCTACAGGGTGTTAAGGGTCTCACTACTAGATCAAACTCGTAGTGATCTGCCTGTTTATAGCCTCCTAAGAGCTGGGATTACAGGCATGCACCCCCCCCCCGTCTTAATTGCTGTCTCAGCGCACCCTGGGGGTGGAACCAGCACAGCAGGCTTGGGGATTGAACCCTTGGCCCCTGTGCCTGCTTGCAGGTGCTTTAATCCACTGAGC